ATATATATATATATATATATATAATAGATTAGTAGCTGGTTACACTGAATTTCTTACATTTTCTAACCTTGCGCAAGATTATCGAGCATCCTGTTGCATTTTTGCAGTGAACACCACAAAAGCTGTCTCCATGTTTGCGTCCAGCTAAGCGACTAAAATTGATGAATGTTGTTCCGACTGCGAGTGTTCAAAAACAGACCCAGATGTTAAATAGGCTGGTTGGCAGTGCAACGCCACCGAAACTCCACGATCAGTCAGTGAACGAATAGTATGTTTTAGGTCGTCTCAAACACGGCAACCCGTGGACCAATTTACGCGATTCAATAGTTCTGAAAAATAAAGCACGGCCTTTATTCACCAACGGATACCATCAACACCCTTCCTGATGTGTCCCAACACAAAAGTCCGTCAGTGGGTGCCTTCGGGAACCATAATAAACACGAAGAATTAATACTATAAACAGCTTGTGGGATTTAGTCCCATTAAGGTAGATGATCCTTTTGAAAACATGGGAGAATTTTTGCGAGAAATCGACGAGTGTTCAGCCCATGGTCCTTTCACTACTGAAGTAACAGTCTAGTGCATGCGCACCAGCTAACTGGAGCTCTAATTTGGTGAAAAATACTTTTATCGGGGACTAAGCATTGTCCTGTACAGCTCGGGAAGTTCAAACAGTGTCCTGATCGCTAGCAATTGTAGTGCACATGTAAGTCGTTACGGCACATCAGAAACCTGATCTAGTGGCATGTTCAGCTCGGACTCAAGGAGTAACGACAATGGTGATCTCTTTGCAGCTTAGGGCTGACTACTACTTTTCACCGATTTCAGACGCAGTAGACGCCATTGTAATAAGTGGCGTCTTCCTAGCCCAGTAGAGCTAGAATGATAAGTCATTAATACTCAATAGTGAGGCACCATTTACGATTGCTGATCTTTCTGGATTACTCACATCGATTCGGATCATGCCCTCGCCCGGAGTAAATCTTCAACAAGTTCTCCGGAGGCCTAAGATACTCTTTAATCGGCCATCGAAAAAACTTGTCTCACAGCTCAGCAAATAATCTTATGTGAAGATTCCACAGACTCAGAAAACGTCAGTAAAAACAGGGAGGAGACAAGAACCGACAATCAAAAAGGTAGCGTTGCATGTGGCCCATCAAATAAGCAATGGCACTTCAACGCGGGACAACACATCCCTCCAAATTGTGAGTACAAACGGGTCAGCTCATGCATGGCCCACGTATGAATGCAAAAACCCAACTGAATAAGAGCGTTCTGAGAATCAAGCAAGCTAAGGAAAGTTGGGAAGTTCGAACGATTCATACACAAAACGCAATCGAAAACCCGGCTGTTAGTGGTCATCTGGAATGGTTTTGGGAAATGAATGTGACACGAACCAGCGTCTTGACCGTTGCGAACTGAACGACAGTTTAGTTAGCCATCTCCCTTTGCAGTCACGTAGTTACTCGACTCCAACCGTGGTCGGTGACTTTAGACCTTGCCTTCGACAACATCACGCAGTATACTCTGAACTGGACTGTCAATGTGCTGAAATCACGTCTGGACTAGTATTGGTGGGGGAAATGACGCGGATGACATTGCTCTGCCATAGGACGGCCCTCCATCCGCAAACAGTGCTCTAAATGAACTGTTGTAAGTGGTCCCCTGTTTCGACATGCAATTTGCATGTAATTTTATGAAGCATCATAATGAACAGCTTGAGATGGTTAGAACTTTACCTATCCTAACAGCTCCGCCATGAACAGACTCGACCTCATGGTAGGGTAAGTTTACGTGACTTTGTGACCCACTGAGCTACACGGAGTGTCCGAGCGACATTATCTGAGTATCTCATACCACGTTGGTCAATGGTTAGAGGTCAGAAAAAGCCTCTCGGCCCTCCAATTTGGGGGTCGGAATATGAAATGGAGACGGATTCTGTAAGAATGATAAGGCACATGCATCCCCCACCAAACACCACTGCCATGCGGTCAGGATTTTGAGCCAAAGGCTTTGGTGGAAGACCCTAATCGTCCTCGTGTTTAGGTTTGGGGGCAATGGCGGCATCCGAGCCTACATACAACCATGAATGACACATTTTTCGGCAAATCTAGCAGATATTTGATGGAAACAGTCTCCTGAAATGAGTATGACGCAATTCGTAAGGAATTCCTGTCGTCTTTGCCAGGAGCTTCGATTGGAGCCTAAAATAAAAATTACCCATCTGGATGGTCCTTCATGGTTTCCTGTCTTGTCTTCCAAAGCTCGCTGAAATATTTGGCCACTCTCAATTCCACTCAGTAGACGCCTCCTAAAAACCAACACTAAAAACAGTCAACCTTCTTTGGTGGCAGGTTTAGGTAGTATAAAGCCCTTCTTGTAACCAGAACTGTTCCAGCACAAGCTTTACTGACATCTACATGAAGAAGTTAACGAGAGAAGGACATAAAACACAACTTGATTTGAAAGATGAGGTTCCCCTATTCTAGCTCGGCTAGGATTGGAAACTTCAGTAATTTGAACTAACGAATAGCGCGAACCCACTCAATGGTAAACAACTAGTGCACACTCGCATTGATGGGCTGAAGCGCAAAAGAAACCAAGCTTGGTTGTTCGTTCATTTTGGTGAAATGGTAGTCTTGACACTAAGAAGTTTAACCACTGTTAACCTCCTGGAAAATTCGATGAGCGATTCGTCTTGGTTGAAGGTAGCGCATAGTCCCTACATGTAATCGTCAACAGCAGTATTGGGGGGGGAGGGGAAAAATTGTTTTTTGGGAGAAAAAATTATGGGCGCCTGAGAGAAATCAATGACTTGCCTCTAAAGAGGTAGAAACGATGCGGAACAATCGCCATAGCCTGCCCTGAGAATACCTGTTCTTCGGAGGAGTGTTAGCTGTTACGACTATCGTACGAGCTCACGAACAACACCGCACATGACTTAAGGCGCAGTAAGGTTGCAAAACAACGTGTTGACCATGTCCGGCCGATTGGTAAAACATTCACGACAAGAATGCCGCACAATTCGACCTCCAAAACAAGCAGTGCCAGTATGACTTCACTGGCAAACTAATCTAACACGTGTCACGGTAAAACTTCATATTCTAATTTAAACGGTCCCGTTTTCCATTCGTGGGAACAGAAATGACCAGAACATGAACAGGAGCCAGAAGGTGCACCACAGCGCAACCATTTATGGTCTCTAACCTGTTTAGCTAGCGTTCTAGATCGTCAACACGCGGAGGCATCTTACAAGACAGCTACATAAGGGACGCCGGACACGCAAAGCATGGAGTGGCGGAAGCCATCAAATCAGAGTAATTACGGTCAAATCTGACGTACTATCTTTTGATCTGTTAAGAAGCGCAAACACTTCATTCAGACCACCTAATAAATGAAATTGGAACAACCACACACCCAGGAGATGAACCGGCTTCAGAGAAATGAGCTTGCGGTATGGTTTCTTTCATTTCGTTAAAACTGGTGTAGTATCTTGCGGACTAGTAAATATGAATACAAGACCTGAGAAAAAATAACAAATAATAAACAGTCGGGACGGGTAGCAAATGTACAAGAAAATACACATTCACATGGAGGATTCTCGTGGTGATTGTGAGGATGGTCGCAGTGTAAAATTAAACAATATGCGAGCAAGGGAATAATAATTGGGACTATCATGATTTCAAAACATCTCTTTTCCGTAGCGACTGCGTAGGTGGCGACGATCGAGGTTAACTGAATTCATCCATCGCGTGTTAGTAGGTGGATTGCTCAGTTCCACGGGGATATCACTAAGGTTGGGCGCACGACGATCACGACCAGTTACGAAAAGTGAGGTCAAGACGAGACAGGTTAGTCCGGGCAATCTGGTCATGTTAGGTAGACAAACACGTTCAAGTCAGAAACGTCTCGACGGAGATACTGCTGTTCGATCAACCACTCAATAACCTCTTTGATTAGGCGTTTCGATGGGACAAATTGGAAGCGCAGCAGATCGACAAGTTCACTGTACAAGTCGTTATAGTGTAGAGTTTTGCGAGCTTTCATGATTTTAATGATTGCCTCCTGTGCTCGAAGCTGACGCAGTTCGACGATTGCCATATTCTCCTCTTCATTCAAAATTTCCTGAGTTAGCTGCAGTTTCCCAATGAGGTTGATGCGTCGTCGAGCTTGGCTTTTGCCGGATCTTCTGTGATAAGTGAAAGAGAACGCAAAATTACTTACGTCTGTAATTAGCTACTGAACAAACTCAAACGCGCTTGAAGGCGGTTGTAATGTCTATTCCAAAAAAAACGTACAAGTCGAAGTGGACGAACCGACCGGCTGGAAAAACGCTACGAGTGAGTGGTTGTTCCGCTCTCTGATCTCAGCAAATAAAGATGGAACATTTTACGATCCATATTTTCTACGTTCCGTATCTTTCACATCAAGAGCCCGTAGCAGGCAAGTTTCTCTTAAGCTGGTAAACCGTTGTGCTCAAGTGGTGGTGAAGTTGTGTTTAGTAGCAAACGTTCAATTTCTAGTTGAATTTTTACGGTGAATATATCAAGGCCACGCAAATACACCTGACGGCGTTTATGCAAGTCTCATCTTGTCCAATACGGTTCCATCTGCTGAGACAGAGATTAGAGAAGCGGAAGTAAAAGTTCCTTTCAGGCGGGATCTATGAGTGTTTTGATTGGACCAGTAGGATGCATTCGGTCACTTAGCCTGACAAAATCCCCTCTGCTACAATGCAAATAACAACGGAAAAGAAGGGATATACAAATGGCTACCGGGAAACATATGAAGGAAGCATAAGACTGTTATAATCTATTCCAAAGTATGACAAACGAACTATGGTGCGTGAACTGGTTGCAACAACGCGAACTAAACAGAGGCCGAAGGGAGTATTAACGGGTTCCCGGTGTTCACCAAACAGAACGACACATCACTGCAAAAATCTCTTGATGAACGCACGTGTTGGCAAAGTTCAGGTTGAGCCAGAACTGCGTGGATTCCGTGAACTCCTTCTCAGATCTCGCCTTTGGGGAGTAAAGGATGACCTGTTGTTCCATTCTGGGATGTTCGCATAAAGTCTGGAGAATATATAATGGGAAACAGTAGATATGAAATAAGTAGAGAATCACAACATGCCTTCAAAACTTGTCAGTTGCATCAGATTTGAACCCCCTAACCTGAACAACTCCTGGTGTCTCTAATTTCGCACTTCGTATGATGCTACAATCTTCGTTTAAAGTATTCTCTAGAAACTCCGTAAAGTTTGTTAGTATAATGACGGGCCTTGTCAGGTACTCGAATTATAACAAAGAACTCACCCAGAGTGTTCGACGAAGTTCACTGTCTTGTAACCCAGTAGCTGTCAGAAGACTATCTAGCGTAACCTTTTCGTCGAAACGTCGGTTCCACGCGTACAACAACACGATCTGATAGGCAGTCAGCTCGAGGTCAAAGCGCCCTCGGTCACTTGTAAATGTGAGAAGACCATGCGACAGATGATGTTGCCAAATTAATTTCCGGCCCTGATGCTTACCGTCATAGAACTTCTCAATCTGTGGTAAAGAAGGATGAGGTAATACGTGGATAAAAAACTAGGAAACACAACGAAAGCAGGTGCATGAGATCACAGAAATACCCTGAACTAGGGATCCACCCACGAAAACCATCCTCAGGTGAGGCTATAAACGAAAAGAGGTGATTCCTTTTTACTCACCTTGAGAAAAACCAGGAGTGACTAGTCTCCGGAAGAAGCGAAACTAAAAAGGTACATAAATCCATCTCCTTCGTGAAGCGATACATAAATCAGCGGCGAAAAATCGCAAAAACAGTCGCATATCATTTCCCGACAGCACACAAGTGATGCTGTTCTTATACCTTGACACCTGAATCAAGAAAGACATGTGCGGTGGATCACGTGGAATTGCAGGGTACACATATGACGAATAGTCACGGGTACTGAAATCCACATGTGAATACACTGAACACAATGGTCTGATTCCTAATGCGACTGACAGACCAGTCATCGGCAGGAGGAACTAACTGAGAAAGTTGATTAACTTAGCGATGCTACCCACGACTAAGGTAAGACCCACAAAAGTAACAATCCATCTATATCGCAAGCAACAGCAAACCAGGTTGCGGTGAGTAAGTGAAGACCAACCGAACCCAACACCGTGTTCAGTATAGTCCAGTTCTACAGGCAGACAGTTGCTATGTGAGACTGGAAGAATCACCCGATCGTAACTTGTACCGACTTGTACCGCATGATGGTCAAGCATCAAACTTGATTCACTATAAAAGATAGACGTTTCCAGTTCAAGACCCAGCAAACACCTCGATCAACGAAATATCTCCATTATCATTGCTGTATTCTTTTGGCATTGGGACACACAGGTTCGACTTGCAGACATGTCAGTTCTCATTCAGGCATCACGCAAAGTATCAGGGACAACTCTCTCAATGGTATTACCAAATTCAACGATACACTCGTTGTTCAGAGACCAAAGACAGGAGGAAATTGAGTTATCAAACACCCGTCAATCAAGTAAATGTATACAAAAACACCAAATTAGAACACTCAGATGAAGTGGACTAGTGATGGAAGGACACGTACATTCCAATGTAAATATCCCAGGGTACGCACGGTTGCATAGCCTAAATGAAGTATATCCAGCCCAGGTCTGAGCGCCCTTGCAGTATCCCAGCCTACGTACAACCATAGCACAACTAAAAATAATCTCATGCCACATCAGCCATCGCGTAGTGCTACCAGGGCGAGTAAGAGGGAACATGATACTGCTGAAGCCTCCATTGATACAATTTCAAGTTTTCCCTGTCCTACCCTACCCCACCCAAGTTTGGATAGTTTTCGCAGGTCCCAGCACTAGGACCGACCGCTATTTTCACCGTGTATCACACTCAGATGCGGCTCCTAAACATCCAACCTCAATGACAACACTAAAAAATAAGGAATCTGTTTCCGAGCCCCGAAAGCCAGCCTACTTAGCTGCGTTTAATGTTCGCACATTGAAGCAAGTAAAATAACAGGTGGCTCGTGCTCGTAAGCTGGATTCCCTTTACATTGATGTTAGCTGCTTGCCAAAAACAAGGATAAAGGACACAAGTGTTGTAATTGAACTGACCCCCTTGCTCTCTTCCAGGATCCGGCTGCGCGCCTCTGGTGATGCAGAGGCTGCTGCAGCTGGATATGCTGAGGTGGGTATCGTATTGAGCGACCGAGTGGAGGCGTCTTTACTTGACTGGGTACACATCGATAATTGCCTCTGCACGGTCCGTTTAGCAACGTCTGTGAGATAATCTCGAGAAAATGAGGTGAGACGCAACTTGTTTATTGTGTCTGCTTACGCACCAACTGACTGTAGCTATGAATCTTCCGCGGACAGTTTTTATGATGCTCTAAATGGGTGTTCCACAAAAGTGCTAAAAGCTCAGATATCGTTGCATTTGGTGGTGACATGAATGCCCAGGTGGGCCCAACTAGGTGGTCGCCTTGGGTTAGATACGAGAGACACAGACAACGGAAATAGTCTACTTTAGGTGTATGCCGATCACAGAGTTCCTTTGCGGTACGGACTTCCGGAACAAAGGAAATCGCTCGATGTTGTCCCCACCAACGAACCAGTCCCGAATCCAAATTGACCAGCGATAGTTATCAGTGGTGAGGGTGGGTTAGTGCCTGCAACGCCATACGTACAGACGGCCGACAATCTTGGTAGTCCTTGACTTTAAGGGTGTGTTCGTCCCTGTCAATCGGTCAGTCCTGTTAACCAGGCTTGCTCAACAAAGTATACTCCTGGAGTTTTCTAGCATAATCTGATCACACTTCTGGGTGTGATAGTGCATACTGAGATCTCAAAAGCCTCCATACAAGAAGTGATGTCTGACAAGGATCTTCGATCTCCATTCTTGTCTAACTTTATAATTGATCAGGCAAACGCTGAAAGGTCTTCAAAATCCCGATATTGAAATCATTGCGGTGAGACCTGGAGTACTTAGACGACATCGCGTTCGGCTGTATAGATGAAGGTGCAGCAAAAACTCTGTTGAGCACCAACATACCATCTTTCGGCATGTTTCTAGCACCTTCAAATCGCAGTCTTGCCTCATAAGATGCAGTCTCTGAACATATCTGTTACAATTCAGGAAGAATCGCTGGAGGTTGTGGAGGATTTTACATACCTCGGTAGTTGTGTTAGTTGCAACGGAAGTGTGTCTGACGAAATCAGTGCACGAATCTTGAAGGCCAGAATCAAGTTTGACAATTCGCCATATCACTGGGTCTTAAGGGTTGCCTGTACTAGGTTACGGTAGGGGCTGTTCTGTTGTATGACAGCGAGACATGCCCTCTGCGGACAGATGATGTGTTCGTTTTCAGGTTTTTTTTACCACCGATGCCTCAGTTGTTGGTAGTTTTGGATGGGGTCAAATGACTGGTAACGAGGTGATAAGAAAACGGGTGTCTAGTTATGCAACAGGTACTTCAACAACAGGGAACATCCAACACCACCGACTGCGATGGCTCGGCTATGTACTGCGTATATCGAACCACCATCTACCGAGACGAGTGTTGTTCCTTCAAAATGGCGGAAACCGTGGGATGGATAATGCATAACTTGACAGAAGGGTGTGAGATATTACGAAGAGTTTGAGGGTTGTTGGTGCACAACGCTCTCCAGAAGGGGTCCCAAAGACTCCTCCTGCGCTTGGATGGAGACACTGTAGGAAATGGCGGCTGACTGGTGTCAACGGCATTCGTGCCGTCAGTTTCTTTCCAGGTTGTCCGACTGAGCACTTGAAGGTGTGAGCTCCTCAGAGTACTTGTGATGGGCCATAAATAGGAATCCCTCCTCATCCACTCTTTTCCCTTCTTTTCACTCCAAGGCTTGGGATATCATTAGATAAACATTGTGCTTGCACGGCAGTGAAGCATCAATGTCGACACTGATGCTGAAGTATCAACCAGATAGCAACGAAGTGAGATGACACGAGAAAGAATGAAGCCTGAGGAATTATGGTACAGATTCAACGGCTCACAGGAGATAGGCGGCAAGCTGGGGGTAAAATAAATATATGTATTCTCTTTTGGAATGCCCATATACGGACAGCAAAACGTTTCAAATATTGGTTCACTATCACACCTGATATATATCATAGAAACGACCAAAGTAGCCGCTGGAAATATCCGAAGAATTGAAGATTTCCGGAACCAGTGATCCCATGTGTATCAAAATACTGCGGCGACTAACATAATGGAAACACATGGAAAGCATGACACGCGAAACACACCAGGGCAATACAGCCATCGGATCTAGCAACCTTAAAGCAATAGATACTCTCTCATATTCCCAGTCAGAAATGGACAGAACTCGTTTGCGACTCACATATTAACTGGAGTTTTCTATTTAACGTTCGTCTGCAAGTAGTTGAGCATCGATTCTGCAGAACCACTGACAGATTTGCAGAGTAAATCAGGAAACGGGCATTTGTAAGGTCAGTGTGTACTTCGCGTGAAGCCCTACAAGCTAAGTCATGCCAAGCCACCATCCCCTGAAAAGAGCTTTGTTTAAACGCAGAATTCCGGGACACATAAGCCAGGGTAAAGTCAATGGCGGGTAAGAAGAAAGGGACCAGAGAAATCGTGACAAGTTTGATGCGATCTACCTCTAGGGACGGGGTTCTCATGACCCACCCTCAGTTTGGCGAGAGGGGTTGTAGGTAAAGCTACCAACGAACGTTCGCGCAAGGAGTTGTTCTAGACTGTTCGGGAACGCAGGTTCATCGGATGCTTTCGAATAGGCACGGGATGTACAAGCAGAGTGAAGTCTGACAGAGACACCCGGGTGTCCTACAAGGTGAAGTAATACCCTCACCAAAAATAAAAAAAGATGCTGTGCGATATGCAAATTTTTAAACACGCTATTTCAAATGCGATGTTTCAAAACTAAAGTGAGTTGGTAAGGAGACGAGATGACTTGCAAGTCAATTACCAAATGCCACTGATCAATTACCACTAAAATGAGTTCGCAAACGGTCAACGAATAAGTGGAAGGATTGGTTTTCACAGAAAATAGGATGGACGAAAGTCATGTGACCGGGTCGTTACGAACTGTGCTAACGAGCAGGCGATTCCTCTACGTTGAGGAACAAATAATCCCTTGCCTGACGAAAACAATAAATGCCTTCTTAAGGATTCCTTGGCATTTTCAGATGGACTGATCGACCGGCAGATAAATGAATTGCTGGCTGTGTTGATCACCACTAAGAAAAGGTTTCGGAGCACTCCAGAATACGTCTAGTTAGCACTGGTACTATATCAACACAATTAGCAGAAAGAAAAAGCAAGTTCACCCGATTAACAGGATAGTTCCAAAGTTACAACAGGGTATAAAAAGGCATGGCCGATTTTGTCAGATTGAAGGTGAGCCCCCAAACAGTGTACTTTATACGGCTAGGGCCTAAAGTAACAAGGCACCACAATGGGCTTCAAATTTTGTGCCCATCTTCTCAGGGATTTATTTACTCCACTAAGTGAACACTGCGTCGTGCAAGTGAAAATAGTATTGCGAACAGGAGAAAATCAGCTACATGCAAAGTAGTATCAAGCTTACCAAAGGGAGGAGGTCTTCCAAAGGAGAGGGTAGCGAAATGAGAGCCTTCTGCTCGGATTTCGAAACCCATATTTCACTCGCCAAGATGAAAATATTCACCATGTCCACATTGACCGTTGTCGTCTGGTTGGAACTACCAGATGCTCGGTACATTTCTTTGAAGTTGATTGTAAGATCATGAGACACTTTGATATCCTGGAACATACGGCTTAGTTTGTTTACTTGTTCTGCAGGCATACCAACTTGCTATGATGGAGGAAAATGAAAAAAACAAAACAATATGAACAGTACGAGTGAAATTCACCAGAAGTAGTAAAGCACTCGCGCTCACGGAAAAACCCTTAGATGATTCAAAGACGTTTCCTCAATCTGACGTTTCCACGTAGAAGTGGTGATGAGCGAAAAAAGTGACATGCGCTCTCTGCACTGGGCAGCCTGCATTTGTAGTCGGGCAGGAGACAATTTTTCACAACGCTTAGAGTGAATACTCCAGATATTTGATGCTGCTTGATGCCCGTGATTCACACATACTACCACTATATGAGGGAATTGAGCATCAGTCGAGCTAAACCGGAAGAAGTAATAACCACGACAGGCTATCATGAAAACGCGTTCTTACGTGACAGCGAAAAAGCTGTGATTATTGGAAAAAAATCGTTCAGTTGTAATACCTTTCCGGTTCCTAGATGCCATGCCACCCAAAGGAAGCATGAGGGCTAGGATACTGCCGGGTTGCCCAACCTAGACAGGAGAAGTCGAGAGGCAGAGGTCGGCTTCGAACCACAGACCTTCCGGTCGATACTTTCCAGCTCTAACCACTGAGCCATCTTATTCCTGATTATTGGAAAATAGGTAACCTTTCAGTTAATGTGTGTTGTCTCAACATATCCTTCAACTTTATTGCATCCAACAGGGGAAGCTCAAGTAAATGTTGCTAAGTGCGTAGCTAATGCTGAATAACCGGCCCAATTAAGTCAAACCCTGCCAATAAGTGTGGCGTAGAAATCGTGCTTACGTCAAACTGATGATCACTGATGAATTTGGACCAATGGCGTAGCAGCGTTTCCATTGTCGTGCCCCCTATTGAGGGAACAGATCAACCAATCATGAAGTCGGAATGTCGCTCTTCTCTGGCTCTACGGGAGAATCTCACTGGAACGTATTCCGTCCCGCTGAAATTGTCTCCTCAGTGAAAGCGAGCCCTCTTGTGGGGCTCTTCCAGGAAAATGGATAACCGTATACACAACGCGATTCACAGAGAGGACACGTACTAACTCTCGGAAGATTGATGAAAGGTTAATTCACCCGTGTGAGAAAGTGATTTATCACATAGTTTATGCACAATAATCTGAATTAGTCAACACTAAGAGCAACCTGGCTGCAATCAGCGTAACACAAAGTGAAAACAAGAACGAAATCAAATCATGTCATGTCGTTGTAACAATAAGCTTCCAAGCTACTAAAACGATCTCCCAGAAGGGCGACCACAGACCAATGGGTATATTATAATTTCAAGTGCGCCATCTTCGGGGTTCATTATGCAGACGGTGGCTGACGAAGAACATCGTTACTGGATCTTCGGAGGAGTGGCCTATCGTCGTAGTGATTCCTCTATGAATTGTGCTAGTGGATGAATATGAGGAACAATTGCCGCAGTCGAGTAAGTGAAATCACGCTCAGTTAGACGGCAACAAAGGGAAAGTAAACCAAAACACACCCGTAGTCTGTCGACCATCATCTCTTCCATTTCACTGTCTGCAGATGTTTCCAGTAGAAGACGTCTAATCAGATGGGTCTTGTACACGCGAACGAAAATATCTTTGCTGTTCACGTATTTAAGAACCAGTAAGACATTGTCCAAGAGTTTCTCTACTTCGTTAGGGAGAAGGCGCTTGTTTATTGAGGATTTGCGAAGCATCAAGTCACAGTAGGACGCCAAAAGTTCTGGGCATCGGGATTCGATTCGGCGGAATTCGCTCCTGTGGATGGCCAACAAAGATCAGAGTAGAGTTTCACCAGTTAAACTTTATCCATGATGAAAAAGTAACTTGTAACACACAATAACAAAAGAAAACCGGAATTCAAAGTTTCCAAATTAAGAATGGGGTGCAAGACGAGGACTACCCATGCGCTAAGGATTGGAACTACGTGTTGATGCGTTTTTCGAGCTCAGATGTTTATCTCGGCTGGCCCAATGGTACAAAGGCAATCAACCTGTTTTGCAGGCAATCCACCGAGGGGAGAGAAATTCACTCTGCTAATAAGACTACCACCTGAGAAGTCATTACTCGTGGAACTATTTAGCACATGACTACATGACGTGGGTTCCATGATTGCAGGATGAGCGGCGCTGTATCCTGTCTAAGTGCGAGTTGATCACACTGCTGAACAGCCGCTCGCAGCCGAATGGTTAAGTGTTCAAACGACTAGCTGGCCAGTCGCGAGTATGAAGTTCCCTTGAATTTTGTAAAGTGCATACTGCTGATGATTCCCAATAAGAATGAAACAACTGTACGGCATAAAATTGCTTCACGCACAGTTAAAAATCAGGAATTGATAAAAGAGGAACGAAGCTACGAGGACCTGCAAATATTCATTATCATTATAGGCGCTCAACCGGAAAGACGCTTAATCCTTTCCCTGCAGTACAGGGTGCAATGAAAGCGGTGGGCACAATGAAAAGGGCGAAACACCAGTAGAAAAAAAACCGTACGACTTTGATGAATAGGAAGACTACTCCGCCTGTAAGAATTAGACGAGATAACTTCTGATGCAGTGTTTGTACTGAGATGCGAGATTTCGGACGTTGAATAACAAAAAATAAACCGTGAAAAGTAACTGCTAGGACCATATTGCTCGCCTTAGCTTGAGGAAAACACCCACGACCGAAATAAATTCGCCGCAACCTGTCCTATGTTCTGAAGGGACTGGCGTAACGCCCAGGGCGATGAGGAGTAAACTGAAAAATCGGACAACACACGCAACAGATAATGCCTGTAAATAAAAGGCAAAAACAGGATGCCTTAAGGGGAAATAAACACATGGACACTGCAATATGCAGGAAAAAAGATAACGCTCGGGATAGGGAATGCAGAAAAAACATTCCCCATTTCTACCCGTAGGACTTGATGACAACTTGCAGGGGTCCGAAGAAATTCGAATCCAGTCTCCCAAATGACAAAAACAAACACATCATCGACTGAACCTGAGAGAACAATATTTGGAGAGCTCTCAAACGGACGAGGCTATATTTGAGGGGTTAGTGTAGTGTTCTACACTGAGCAAGAGGCTAGAACCCAGAAAACCGGCCACTTGAGTTTGGTGATTCATCCACCGAGCTGATATTGTCAGCGTTTTCAGTGAGCACGAGTAGGATAGCTGAAGGAAATACACCATGTAGTTCATAAGTTTTAGTAGTAAAAGACAGATAAGGCCAGGCAAAAACGCTAGTGATGTGTCAGCAGTTACGAACACACTTTGACTTGCTGTTTCTTCACTATGCGGAAAGCACAGAGGACATCTACAGGTTGTCCTTCCCAGAAGAACTCCTAAAGCTGAATCTCTAGTTTTGTCCATCAGTTGTTAAACAGGTCTCGGGGTGAGAACTGAGTACAGCCTACTCAGGTGAACTCATCAAAGAGCAATTGAAAAAAAAACATTATTTCAATTAAGAAGTTGGGTAGACAGAGGAATGCTTAATCCTTAGAGCTAAATTCCGCCCCTTCGCTATTATCTGGATCAAGAACAATTTCGAAAACAAACCTCATTATGTGAGAGCGAATCGTTGTCGTGCATACGTTTTTTCTAGGACATTAATGAGCGGAGACCATTATCCCAGTAAACTCGACAAGAAGTGACCATTCTTGAAAATTCACCAAGAATTCAGTCAATCGGGTTCAGTCAATGGCATGGCAACTGACTCACCGCGTGGAAGTAGGAAGCTCCGTAGTAAACACAGCTGTGTTATTTACAATTTCTTGGTATGCCCTGTCTCGGGAGGCCAAAAGGAGTGGGTCATTTAGGAACGCGTCATTTACGATTGATGAGAATCGATTGTATAAATCCAATAAGCGCTCCACATATTTGTTTGCATCCTGAAATTAGGTGAAAAGTGAAATGCATACAATCCGTAATGAAAGAAGCTGAGCTAGTAGGAGATTGAAGGCAAAAAATAGCTAAGGGTATCGGAGACCTATTAAGAACAGGTGACACCCAACAACAGCCAGACAAGAAGTTCATCCGATTTACGCTGTGAGGAGATCAAGTAAAAACGTTAGGATACTAATAATGTGAAACACTCTCGTAGCACGATACTTTGGTATGGCTGGAACACTTAGTTGAATCCAGCCGATATCATCTGCGTGCTTTGGGTCGGTAAGTTTCCCAGTAGCAATGATTCTCAACATCAGCCTAATTATTTCATCGATGACGAAGTTGGACAAAAATGGACAGGGTATACATCCTTGCGGGATACCACTTTTGGAGACCTTCCCCTATGCTGTCACTCTTTCGAAGCGTGAATGGAAAGCACTGGGTATGCACGCGAATTTCACTCAAGAGCCAACAGAAGCAGCTACTTATACTCTTTGAAGATGAAGAACTAGAGAATGAAAACCACAAGTACAGTGCATTGTCGTCCACCTGTAGCATCCTTCCGGTGTCTAGCTGCCATGCCACCCGAAGGTTGCACGACGGCCGGGATACTGCCAAGTTGCCCAAAGCTAGACAGGGGAAGTCAGGAGAACTACGGACCTTCCGGTCAGTAAATTCGCGCTCTAACCACTGAGCCATCTCGCCCCCAAGTAAAGTGCATCCGGGAACCTAAAACCGAAACTCACCTTTAGCATAGTCTCTGCATTTTGTCGAATATCTTCCAAGCCAACTTGGTTCACGTACTGCTCGAAGTGGACTAATATCCGTTCTGACCCATTCTCGACTCGCCGAATGAGTTCATAGAATTGCCGAAGTAATTCCACATTGCCCTCGCGCAAGAGCTTCGGGATTTCGGAAAGCAACTGGTCCTGCGATTAAAATGAATGATATTTGTGTAGTAGGATGCCGAAAGCCGACAGCAACCATTCCGAGAAGGTGAACGGGAAAGGAAAGTCAGGATGCAGATTTGAAACAGGGTATATCAAACGTACCAGATAGCCAACGACAAACAGGTCAGCACACGCTTTCATCAGAACTTCAGCCGATTCCGGTTTGGCCTTTTTCGCCAAATAACGACTAGCCCGATCTTCTTCTTCCAACAACTTCTGACTTGCGTAGGAAGTGTAAGCCTGGAGGAAGCAGAATATGCCATAACTTGAGAGATAGAACTTAAAGTTAACAGAATGGTGACACCTGCTTAAAAGAGAGTTCCCATTGACGAAACGTTATAACAAAGGCAACACAAGGTGTAATAAAAATGCAGTTCGGTATCCAGATATATCATCCGAAGAGACAAGCCCCTAATAGTGATGATAACTCAGCTGTAACACCCTTCCGGTGCCCAGCTGCCATGCTAGCCGAAAGAAGCATGAGGGCTCGGGTACTGCCAGGTTACCCAAGCCTAGACAGGGGAAGTCGAGAGGGAACCAACAGAAACCGAATATTAAAAACAAATGTGAAAATGTTCGGTAGAAATAGATGTCGATGGTGATGTTAACAGGAAGCTCAACTCAATCTCTCGTTTATGATACTGTTCAAATGTTCATGCTGCACAAAGGCAACCTCATATTTTTAGTTGGTATTGCATTACAGATATTGGAGTATATTTTTTGGAGGAACACAATGCTCTTCTACTTTCCTACAATCCAAGCTCAAACTGGGAGTCCGTTGAGCCCCCAATAACACTAACTTAATTTGAAACTGGATGTAGTACGTTAATTGGGTAGACGTAGGAATTCAAACATAGCATAGAAATGACGTAAAGTGAGCACCAAGAGCGCAGGGACCGATGGTAGGTTGTCAGAGATTTCAGCAACCCCATGAGTACAGTATTCCGTCAGGAATGTTGTTGTGTAATACGCGCTAGCTCTTTATGGGTGTTTTTTTTAACAGCCTGCACTGTACATGGAACCCAGTATCTACCAGTTCGGAGTTGTTTTTACGTATAGACCAATGGATGAAAAAAAGCACTAAGTCTTCGTCCATGAGCCATAAACCGTAACGGTCGACCACCATGGAATCCGCGGTATGGTTTCAAGAACCCACACAAAATTGGTTTTCTGGGAAAGTGGTATCCCCTGATGGGAGTCTCACTAAGAGATCAGCTTTAGTTGCAAGACACAGTTCTGTCGCACCAAGTTATTGTTGACGGTATAGTCTTCCTATAATCCTACTTAACCTGTTGACGTCTTGACTAGGGTACAGTAGAAGGAACGACTATTAAAGACCACATATAACCGGACAAGGTGACAAAACCAGCACTAATATTAAACAACAAACCACCGAAGTCGCTGCAGGACCCCTTGTTTGGTTGTAAGCGCCAAGGCAAACCGCCGTGCCGACCAATCGGAACGCACAATATTAGGTCAGTAGTGAGCCAGCCATACACCCGTTAACTCAGTGTGACATTCGATTAATCCAGGCAGCCTTCGCAGCCATCGTCAAATCAGCGAATAATGAGCAATACATGGGTGAGGGTAAGTTACTCGGAGCCAACAAAGGCACCTTGATGTCACTGGTGGATGAAATATGCATAGAAGATATAGGGTATCCGAGAAACGCGTCATGACGGTTAAGAGTGTCGTGCTCTGTTGAAAGTTTTCCTGATGCTATTGAGCCTTTTCAAAGGTAATACATTGTTTTTGCAAAACTTCTTAGTATTATATCTATGAGAAGACAGTCTCCGCGGAAAAATCTGAAGGTCGCTTCAGATGACAATAAGATGTTCGACGTGAAACTTTAAGCGTTCCACACTTCATGATATTTTAAATTCACATCGGTTCGTTATCACATTTCAGTCGAGACACCAAGATTGGTGTTGAGCTATAGTATTAGCATCGAGGACAGCGAAGCACCAACAGTAAAATCTGGTGCTTACTTGCTACATAACCATAAAAGAAGGACCTAATGAAAAATAGAAAGAAATGGCAAGAGTTGGATGGGGATTTATTGCGAAACTTCTGTGTCCCTGGGCAAAACGGTCAAGGGTTTTTAAATCGACAATATCGTCCAACACCAATTAAATAAACCTATTTGACCATGGTGCTAGAGTAAGAAACCGCTAGCAGGAACTACCCAGCATCCCTCGACAACTTTATCAAACATTCATCAATGAACAGTAGTGCGTCTAAAAACTGATAACACGTCATATTCCGTATCCCGAAGGACCATGTGCACCCTGAGGGACGCAAAATTCCCACCAAGTATGCTTCGCAGTTGCGACTTTGAAGTCTAGTGGCCAAATCATGACCTACCGCACCAAAAACCATTCATCAGCAAAAATTTGGAGTAAAAAAACGTAACCTTGCTTGAGACGGTGACAGAGCACGCGTAGCATGTCCCAACAAGTTTCACCTGGCAAGATCTTACCTCTGCACTATGGATTTAAACATACTGTTAGGCAGTCACTTAGGGACTACTTCACTGAGAACAATGTGCAGGCACTCAACATCCGCTGTGGTACGAAGGCGCCTATAACCAGACGTCTAGAACAGAACGTCCAGATCTTAGCCACAGAGTGAATATATTCTGTTGTTTTGTAAACACGGTCCTTTGGTTCCACAGAAATACACTTCTGACGCCAAAAATGATGTCATTTGGCAAACATGTGAATTGCTTTCACAGTACACGCATTCCTTTCATGTAGCAGAGTGCAACTACCAAGATAAGTAACCAATGAAAAATCAAGTTTTTAATTCCGAGGATTCCAGAAAGGTTCCGAAATAATGATTCACGATTTAGGGCTCAAAAGGAATTCTGAAACAGAAATAATTACAAGGGCATGATACGAATGGATTGCGAGGATGCATGGCAGTTAACCAGCAAAACAGCCTCTTTAGTGTAATTCGAGTCCACTGGCCTTCCTACCCTGGCCCTTCTGGATTTCTTGGATAATAGGTCACAAATTCACGTGAGCAGAAGTATCGACAGAACGCACGTCTTTAGTTGACTCTCACGGGGGAAACAGGGGTCATGGAGTCAAGAGAACTACGTCATTGACAGACAAAAGTATGGAAAGAAATCCTCCGTGAGCCTATTCAGGTTCAAAAATCCTCCTGGCTTCTTTTAAATGCGGGGATATGGGCCGTTTAGTCAGATTCCGAACACATCTGCAATCGACAACAGTCTTAGTTGTACCATTCTTGATCGGTTCCGAGGTACTTGAAGTGCTGACTGTGACGTAACTAGCCTCGGATGAAAGTGAAACTCAGGCACAGGTTAGCCGTCGCGTCGCACAATCGTAGCTCTGAGAACTAATACAGCCCATTATTGAGTCTCACTTGAAATACAGGCTACCAATAGCTCGTGTGTGTAACCGTTCGTATAATCATGCCTGGTATCGTATGTTCGCATCTGTCAGAGGGAATGCGAAGACATATACCAATGTCCCTGAATGATGTTTGAAAGAGTCCCGGCTAAAGTGCAGATGGTCGAAACTAGTCACATGAAAGACAAAGAGCAAGCGTTTCAAGTCAAATACCGAGTGCGCCCAAACTAACCAAGACTGGTACGATTGCAGCTTCGGTGTCGAACACTGATGTCATGCTGTCGATGATGATGCTGATGATGATGGTACGATTGCAGGGGTGTTCGAAATCTGATAAAAGAAGCGTTCAGCTGTAGCACCCTTCCGGTGTCTAGCTGCCATGCCACCCGAAGGGAGCACGAGGGCTGGGATACTGCCAGGTTGCCCAAACCGAGACAGGGGAAGTCGAGTGGCGGAGGTCGGATTCGAATCGCGGACCTTCAGGTTAGTAAATCCGCGCTCTAACCACTTCGGCCATCTCGCCATCTCTCGAAATCTGATGACACGACCTTATTTGGGCAGTCAAAAGAAACCTTTAAACTCCAGTTGGCCTACCAGCAATTTACTTCCACCATCTTGACAATTATGTAATCCGTTTGACTCCATGACTCATTGGCCATTGTTGCTTCATTTTCTTCTTGTCTGCAAATGTACCCGTGAATTCGGCTAAATGTAAGCGTGATTTATGTCGATGTTTCCGGTCATAGTAATTTATATATCAGACAAGAAGACCATTCACCAAAAGCAATTTTTTTCGTTAAGTAGCGTGACAGTTAGACAGTTTTAGTGTGCCATTTACATAACTCCAATTCAACTCTCCTCCCTCTTAATTTGTGGTATCTCCGGTTCACTCATTAGAAACGGACGGCGCTAAATTCGTACTGCACTTTTGTTCCCTTTGGAGCTCACCAGTAGCATACACCGTCAACGGCCTAGCGTTTCGATTTCCGGTCATCCGCCTTTAGAAGCAAATGTGTATAGTTTCCACTACAGCTGTACTCGCCGGATACAACCGAGTTATTCCATGCAATTGGACAAACATTCGCGTACCTTCAGTGTTAGGTGTAGCCTTGTCTCATGCGACAATCCACTAACTGTTTTAGTTGCTTCAAGCATTGACCAACCTGTCAGAATTTTCCGGTCACGTACATGCTATGAACCAGTCACGTACCTTTTGTTAGTAGGTACGATATATCCAAATATGTATTCGCTTGACATATTAGAATTGGTGCTTGGTGGTTGAATATTACTAATTCTGAATGTAAAATGTCCAGTCCGGTTAGAAAAATACGTGAGGACAACTACTCTGTAGAAACATGTTAGGTAAACGTACTGAAAACGGTGGAATCATGTACGAGAGAAGCAACTTAGGGCATGACATTACTGGGTGACTATTACCTCAATAGATAATAGCCAATGTACATGCAAAATGAGAGCATTGGCATCCCAACTCTCTCACACACACGGACGATTTTACGAAACCTATGCACTGGCCTGATGGAAGTTTACCAACTTCCACTCCGTTAAACCACCTAACTAAAAGGAGCAGTGCAGTCGAATCCACTTCAAAATCATCATCTAGAAATCAAATATTTCAACCTCCATGAATGACCACGTTGTTCATTGTTACGACAAACAATTATTTGGCAGGGAGGTGTAAAAGCCATTAGCAGCACATTCAGCTGAGCTGGATGGGGACTCCGAGACGGGCCACACCAACGGTTGGAGACATCATCGTCATCATCAGTGTTCAACACCGATACTTCACTGCCGTACAGCCATGACTTATTTGAAAGCCTTATTCTAAAGAATAGAGTAAAGGCGGACGGGGAAGGGACTTAGTGCTACCTTACCACAATCATTCCGAGGTGCCTACACCTACAGACATTCACTCAGGCGATCTAGATAGCAAATGACAACAAGAACGCCACTGACATCGGTTGGCAGCCATAGCTTGTAGTGTCTCCAACCAGGCACAGTGAGGATCGCGCGGTCCGCATCCTGGAAGGCGAGTAGCACTGACAACACCCAAACATTTCGTGATCTCCTTCATACTCTTCTGCCAAGCCAAGAGTTGGCCACCTCTCTGTTTACACCACTCTGAATTGGGCACAGAAAACAGCACTCTCTTCGGCAAACGATGGTTCGGCATACGTAACACATGTCCCAACCAACGTAGATTCTGGTGCTGGACACATTCTTCAATTGAAGTACCCGTTACACAACCGAAAACGCGCTTTCTAACTGCCTCATTACGGATTCGCCGACACCAACCCACACGAGCTATGGTTCTGAGACAACGATTGTCCAACACCTGAAGATGTCTCAGGTCCACTGCTCGAATAGGCTTAGTCTCACAGCCATACGGGGGCGAGATGGCACAAGTGGTTAGAGCGCGAACCTACTAACCAGAAGGTCCGTGGTTCGAACCCGACCTCTGCCTCTTGACTTCCCCTGCCTAGGCTTGGGCGACCTGGCAGTATCCCAGCCCCCGTGCTTCCTTCGGGTAGCATGGCAGCTAGGCACCGGAAGTGTGTTACAGCTGAACGATTTCTTTTCACAGCCATATAACAAAACAGCCCGTAGTGTAGCCTGATACACACGTCCCTTGAGATTCAGGGACATGGACCAGTCGCGCCCTCAATGATGCTCATGCATCCAAGCTACTGCCTTCAACGCACAGCTTCATTCCCAACCCCTCCACTCAAAAGACCACTGACAGATCTGAATTTACGCATCGGTTTGTCACCTCCCGCCTCCAACGCACAGCTATCTACCCACATCCCCAAATCATCGGTGAACACAACTGTGGTAGCCACACCCACAGTACAAGTACGAAGTTCTCATAGACGATGTCAATGATTGTTGCGACAGGATGACCCCATATTCACAGCACATACATATGCTCACAGATGTAAGAACTAGTTCACGCTCACGTGGTGGAGGTTGCATGGACATCGTGAAGACCACACATAAAAATCGAAGAAAACCCCACGAAATTATCACGAAACCAGTGAAAGGACGATTGTGGTATAACTTGCGGAAACACGTGTAGACGGAAGAAACTGCAAAGTACCGCATTTCACCGAGGTCCACGCGGTCAACCAGTGAAAAACGAAAAGGCACTCATACATGAATCACTAAGTAATAATACATTGAAAGGTTGCTCGGTTAAGATGCCACATAGAAATCACTTCGCCCGGTTACTAGCTAGTCTGAACTATTAGATATGTACCGCAAAACTGAAAAAATGAAGAGGAACGCATACACATGCCAATACATGTAAACGCACTCGAATTCCATTTTCTTGAATGAATTCGGCGACCAATGGCTTGTAAAACAGTTTCGTGTGTTCCACATAGCTCTGCTCCAAATCCTCCAAATAATTGATTTTATCTGCCCCAAGAACGTCCGACAGTCTGGCTACAAAGTAAAGGGAGGATACCGATAAACCCACAGACTGAGCGCCCACATTGATCTACGCTGGATTTTGTCTGCCTATTGGTTAATGAAGGTAGTGATAAACTTCGAGGAATTAACTGTAAATGCTCAGTAATTCTAACAATAACTTTTGCCAATCAGATGGGGGGAAATGAGATCAAAAGCGACCCACCACCCCAGATACACTGAACAAGAAATTATGATGTGGCGGGCGGGTTCGGACGGAGAATTTTCACGTTGAAGGATAAAACTGACGGGTACAGAAGAAACCAAAGTATGTAGACGATTCGTCTATCTAAATAATCTCAGTGAATGATGGGAGATAGTATTTACAAGAACGTTCACCAACTGGGGAGTTATGAATGACATTGCGTCCAGATACAACTGGTTAAAAATAGCCTAAATGATGAAACACGTTTCGTACGTGCGGAGTGCAGGATTGCCGTGGAGTTGGGTGAATGCAAAGTCAAATCCGGTTAACGTGATTCAAGTCCTCGATACGGCTGACAGTCACATAGCCTAGTGGCGCTTCAAACAAAGTGACCGATTGAGTCCATAAAACTTACTCTGAATGCATCCACCTGTTACGTATTGTGAGGGCAAGACGTTAGCCTGCCGCTGAGTGACAGGGTACGAAACGTTACATCGTGTCTGATACCGCTTCGCATAGTCGCTGGACATTGAAAATGGAAGTTAACGGTTGGTTTTTGATGATGAAAACTGGTACTGAAGTACTGGAAGTGCATTGTGAGAACATCTAGTCAACCAGATCGAAGTGTGAGAAATGGTTTTCAGGAATGGATTAACTTTTGGATTTGACATGACCGCGTCATGTACACTCAGCTGGAAGTCCCCATTCGGTTTCTTACTTTTTCATTGAACCCCCATCGAGGGAACACAACGCATGAAATGACGTCCTATCAAAGATTGGTTTGTTGAAATAAAGAATATCGTGAACCACTTTGCTCATTCAAGTGACCGAGACGTCACCAATAGAGTCTACGGATAACATGACTTAACTGTTTTAATAGCCAAGTAGACCGAACATCAAGGTTGCAATAGTTTGTTATCGGCAATGACCAATGGAAGAAAACATCCATATTTGACCTGGTTTCACTGTGCTGGGTCAGCGATACACTGATGGACAGTAAGTTACCCTCAAAACTTGCTGACCATTCCCCTTTTTGTGCGGTGACTGGCTCAGCAAAACACAGAATTTCAGGTCATTCAACGTTGGTTACATACCTGTTCTGTTTTGACGAGCTCTGTTCACCAGAGTGCTGACCAGCCATCCAGAAGAGTGAAAAGATACCTGATTTCCGATCCAACCACGCAGCGTGAAAATGATGACAGCGTAGAATTACGGGAATTATCGAAAAATTTAGCACAGGGTTCCCTCAGTAGCCATGATAGGCAGTATGGTGTCAACCTGCCAACTTATCTCGCAAAGAACGATTCCGTGGATAAAAACCAACTGACTGAAAAATGAGGCTATCAAACACGGCCGCCAGTATTCACAGATGACCTCTTTTTGAAGTAATCAAGATGACCGAATCACGTTCAAGACAAGTTTCCCACACACGTGAATGATTTTAACCGATCCAAAGACGAATCACTGTTCCTTCTAAATCGGCCGATCGATCGCGTGTCAGATGCTCCAAGTGTCACTTCCGTTTATAATAAGATGCTACTTTGGAAAATAAAATTATGTATCAAATACAAGGGCACGCAGTTCGTTAAGCGTTGGCCAACACGTTAAACAACTTCTAAACTAAATATAGGCGATCGAAATTTTCTCCTGTTGGTAAAAGGTCATTGTGATACATGGATTGAAACCACGTGCTCTAATAATAGCGCAAAAAAAACACCAACAGGGAAAGATAACACGGCTACTCGTGTGGATGACCGACCTTCGGTGAACACAGAGAGAATCACAGTGTCTATTCTTTGAATAGGTTTCTTCTTGGGAGAACTACCATATACGGCTAAGGTTACGATATCTGTTTGCTGTTAGCCTCTGAAATTCAGTCTGACATGCATCTGTACACCATACGGCTCAAAAGAGCGGATCACATTAGTAGTTTGAGTTGAACGCCTTGCATCACGCACTGTCACTCCAAAAGACTTTATCGCCATCGTTGTCTCTCAATCGCAAAACACTTTCGGTGCACATCTGCTATGCTACCCGAATGAAACACGAGGATTGAGAGACTGCCCGGCTGCCCAAGCCTAGGCAGTCGAGATGCCAGAATTGAGTCCGAACGGTTGATCTTCTCGTCAGTGATTTCCCGCCTTATTCACTGAGTTATCGGGAACTGACTCAAGCGGGCAGTAATTGCCAGGTTTGTTCTGATTCTTTTACATCTGGGATTGCTGGTAGTCGACCAGTCACCTATCGTTGACTATCGACCGGCTTAGCACGCATAAAGTGTGACAGCTTCACTTGTGTACTATCACTCGCTAGTGCAGTGGGAAAGCGTGAACTTATTGAGACCGGGGCTGTGAGTTTTGGGTGGCTGTTTGGTACCGCCTGCGGACCTGTCATACAATGAATAATTAGAAACCTGAATGAACCGGCTCCAGATCCATTTTCGAGTGGTAAGAAAAATGAACCCATACTGGTCAGTGTTGCTTGCAAAAGCTGATGAGCTCACTGTCTAACAGTAATTCCTCCGAAGAGGTGCCACTACTAAAGCGTCTGCGGCATTCATTTCTCTCCGACTCTCCATAAATGTTCTTACCTACTGAACGGGGATCTCTTAACTCACTAACGTCCATGATTTTATATCAAGATGAAAGGTCATGGACGGTTTGTATGTAGGTAATAACAAAACAACGTTGCGATGGCCGCTCCGCAAGTTCAAACGACTTAAACCTGAAACCCAATTCTACGCATTGAAGGTTGCAAAACTGCTGAAACAATTCGAATTGACATCCACAGGAATATCACCACTAAATAATACGTGCTTGAAATATCTCCACACTGCATTGTTTGACCTGGGTTCGCAGATTCCCCTTTTCAATAACACCCACTTGATTCCTCTTTCCGAAACCTCGTGATTGTTGAGGACCATTTACTCATCTCATTGAACAATGTATAGAATGAAGACAAGATACAGGTAGGTAATCTTTCAAGCCGAGATTCGAAAGGAATGTCCTTTCTTTAACTGTACGGCAAATTATTAGAATGTTGTCTAAAGAATGTGACTCGACTGTGAAATTCGGTTTGAGTGACGTAACCTTGAAATGGAAATTGATTCTTGAGTGGTAACTAGCTGTCGGGTGACTTTTGAGTGGTCACACAATATTTCATGATTAATCGTCATTCGAAATCGCCTGTATTAAGTGGGAATCAACAGCAGTTGCAAAGAGGGTGTTTTGGGAACGGAGACGGAAGCAAGAAAGAAACAATCAATGATATCACAAGGCGATGTATAGTTAACGTAGTAACCTAATAGGTTTTTATGAATACTCTTGGGTGTCCCGAGTACGAGTTATCCCACATGTATATCAGGAGGAATTCTTAGATGAAAACCTCCATTTATTTGGTAACGGAAAAGTATACTTGGAATCTACCATAATTTTTTTTGTATATTTTCTCGCACCCGGAGCTCAGATTGTGCACCCTATATATGACCTATGAAGAGAGTGAAACATACGAGGGGCCAGAGTCTGCTTTCCAGTGGTGACCTCCGCTTGAAGTAGCACAATCGAGGCAACGATCTCATGGTACTTGTTCAGTTGGGCGGAAAGGGTAGTTATCTTAGGAACGGTTAACTTTATCACCTGATTACCGCATACACACACAAACACACAGGCAGGATACGATTTATTACGTAAAAGCGAGATTGCATTATCATGCCTTATTTGCCGAAGTCCACAGTAATGGGAATACAGCCCGAATCTTCAAGTTTAATTCCATCTTTATGATTTCTTTTCACACCTAACTATGTGATACTAAAAACATTCGTTAGGGCGATGATGACCATTGAAATGTCCTAGTTAGGACTTACAAGAACATTTTATCACTTTCAAGGTGAAAAAGTCGATCGCACGCCGATGAATTTGTCTGGACCCTTATGTACAAAAATTCCATTGCTAAGGTGAAGACAAAGTCCGTTACCGTTCTTTCTCCTCTAGTCAACCCGTCCACAAAAAAAAACACCTACATCGGAGATAAAATCTGGGATACTCTGAAAATATAACTACAACAGGGCTAGTTTACAATACGAACTGTTTCACGTGGTCATTGACACCGTTCTAGTTGGTAGTAAACAGTTGCGATGAGAGTTTTAAGTATCGCTATACACGTGTGTGCGATAGCGTCCATTTGCGAGTACTTACCACAAGAATCCACCACACCGACGAACAGTTCCGCATCCACGATTTGCCCGATTCGCTCACACTGAATGTGCTTAATAGCACTTGTGATAAGCCGCGTCTTTAGTTTCTCATAAATGATATCATTCCACGTTTCTAACAAAATCTAGGCAGCATGTAAAAACCGAAGGATATTATCACCTTCAACACAGAACTCTCTTGAACGTGTCGTGGATTGGAGTGATGAATTTGATGTTTTCCGTCCATAGGTGTAAAGGGAAGAGGGAGGTAATCGGCACTTTTAGAGAATTTGGTCCATTCGACAACGTAGGACTTTAGCAGAGCCTCTGTATTCGGTGCGTCAGTAATGCGCTGCAATGCGGTTATCATACTTATATGACGTGAAGAATCGTTACCTGTTTAACTTGTTCAATGTATTCTGCTATCATTTCTTTCAATGATTCCTTGATCTGAAACGAACCATGTGGCTCATGCCACATGACAATTTGGAAGACATCGCTGATGGAATACAAATAACGACATTTGATAAACAAACCAAAACATTTGTTGCCACTCGGCTGGACTGACATTCTCTATTGTTAATATCCGTTTGACAAGCGTGGCGACTCCTGGCCACCTCTGCTCGATGCTCTTTTTGTCATCCTGTGAACAAGTTTTGGGTCAGATGATACAAACTTACACTCATGTACAGCATTTTGAAAGTGAACGGAACCCAACTGGAACAAGTTTGATCGACGAAGATAGATTGTCCACTTTAAAAGCACAACCGAAGGTCAAGTGAGAGACGGACACAGTGAAGCATGGGAATCCAGTGAGCCTTGATATTAGGCGTCACCCGGGAGGGAGGGGAGCATGGAGATTTATTCCTGAAAATCGAGAATATATAAATGTATGACTTGAAGTTGCTGAAACATGCACGAACCATTAGCAGTGAGATCTCACATAACCATCTCTGACAAAAGTGGAAATATTGCTGCCATCAGCTAACAATCCAACATTATTTCGTCAGTCGGAGTAACGGTACACTTTATCCTCAGCGTTATTACCTGAACCGTTACCTTCACCAGCAACGAACAAGAATAGTCATCAGAGGAATAACTACCAGTGACGCCATACACATTCTAAATGGTTAAAAAGCCGACGTGCTGTCAGGCGATGTGATACAACTTCATGCGATACAATCTGCATGCAGCTAGACCCACACATTTCTAGACTTGATGTTATAGATCGCTATAAGGGAAACATTACACTATCAGAATCTTATCCGTCATAAAAAACGCTTCTCAGTGGGATTACCAGGTAACACAATGTAACCATGGTCTCTCCAAGAAGTTTGGCGGTGCTGGTTGGAGCGCGTAATGCCACTCCTGTGGACAATCAGTCACTGAAAACCCTGCATACAATCCAAAAGATGCACCGGAAGTTGTGGTGCGTATCACGTATCTTGGAAGTTGTGTTGGCGCGAAAGATCAGGCACGAATCTCGAGGGGCCGAGTCACGTTTACTGATTTTCATCATCATCATTATCCTCATCATCACCGACAGCATGACATCAGTG